ATGTTAGAGTTTTGCGTACAATGAGAAGTTAAGTGAATCTTACGATATGAGTCACGAGAGAGTTAAGTAGATACCTACAGAGGAACGAGATATTGTTACTGCTCTTTTGGTGTAGCAATGCAGCGTTCTTGCAAAAATCCGAGAGCAGGGCGTTACGAAAGCTGAACAAGTTTGAATAGAGCCCGCATTCCGCATCGAATATCCCGAGAAACTCATTAAGTGAGTTGCCGCATCAAGCGAGCGAGCGGGCAAAGGGCGGTATGAAGATGGAGGGTGAAGGATTGACGTGTGGATGGCAACGGCAGCTGTTTGTTCGACTTTAGACGGCTTGCAGTAAAAGTATCCGACTAGTTACAAGGCCGCTTCGTTCACGTCGCTCGCTTCGCGACGGAAACATTTAACAATAAACGTGTTACGCTTGTCCAGTTAAGTTACACTTGACTTCGAAATTACCTGAATTATCGTCCAACTTTAACGCCGAGATAATTTACATTGCTTCTCGCATCATTTCGGTTTTCTGTTTCGAAATCATTCAACTCCTTTTACTTCTAACAACAAGATACGATTAATGCTTCTTATGTTTAAGAAATATAACAGCCTATACAATTTTAATAGAGACAATATATACAACTTTACGTAGTAAACCAATAATAGATATTATTTATGTCTCTGTCAATAATTTTCTATTAATATCTAGAGATACTAATAAGAAAAAGAACGTGAAGAAAAAATGTGAAAAATAAAATTGTATCTGCAATGTAATTGAGTTCAGAGATATTAATTAAATCATATTTATATATGACATATATATCAGTTTCTTTTCACATCAATTACAGTTCACCTAGATTTGAATTGCTTTAACATAGTTTCAGTAGTGATATAGTTTATTAAGGAAGAAATCCTATATTGGATTTCCAAATTGAAAATTGATGGTCCAAATGCTCCAGACGATTATATCATAAATGACCACAATGACCAATAATAATAGTACACTTTGCACTGTTTTCGTGAGTTGTCGATATCAGCAACAATTATTATTTCCCGAAAATATTGTTACAAAATTGTTATATCTTCGTACTGCACTATCGAATAAATAATTTAACATATGCATATAATGTATATACATATAGATGTTCTGAAAATATGCATTTAATATTTCTTCATTTTTAGATCAAATTAGACAAAATTATACTTTCTTTCCCACCATATCAACTAAAAATAAAAAGTATAATATCCTATCGATATAACCTTCCAGAAACGAGAAAAAATTACTATCGCTCGCTGCGCTGTCAAACGATATTGTTATTAATGTGCGCATGTGATGCAAGTACCTGATTTCTCATCATCGTGCACTGCATATGCGGTGATAGTGAAATAAATGTTATAGAAAGTAAACACGGGCGATATGCGTAAAGCCCAGTGATGCAATTTTTGCGATGAATTAACAGCATCATCGAAAGACCACAGTATTTTATTAGACCTGAACGTGCGGTATTTTTTATTGAAATAATTTTTGTCTCTATTTTCACTGAGCATATGTTGAATATCACGAACATATTTTTGTGGAAAAACGATGTTATCTAAACTGCTAGCATTTAAAGTTATAACCATATCTGTGCTAAACAATCAATTATTATCTGAATATTCCTTTTTTTTTACTTTAATTCCATTAAAAGCTTAAAGGGTAAAAACAAATTTAAGAGATATATACTAAAATATATTCGAGATTTATATTTATTCAGAGATATAAGATAAGAATATCAAGTATTTCTCTCTGATTATATATTGTTAATATATAATAAAGTATGAAGTGCATTAAGAGAGAGCTTAAAAAGGTTACACAATTTAATTTAATAAAAATAAAGTGATTATGAATTAAATAATTTTTTTCGTGATAAGTAATTTAATTTTATGTTTTAATGCAAGAGAGAATCTAACAAATTAGAATTTATCTAAGACCTATTTAAAATTCAACGAAAATGGAAAAATGTTGGGATTATCTCGTATAAAAGCTTTTCTCATGTGCCGGAAATTTGTATGTGTACTTCTCTCGCCATTAAACGAAAATTATCGGTCAGGGACCAGGGCGAAGGCTATGTTGAATCCAATTTGAACCTGCTGTGGCACTCTTGTGTTCTGTCAACTGGGTCGAATACCACTAGAGAGAACTAGTCAGTGACTAAAGATTAGTGCGACACTGCCGGATCAAATATCCATTTCCGTTTCTGCCGCCGTAAATCTGCATAGCAGGAACCGGAAATGATGAGCCTTGCTTTTGCGGTGAAATAATCGCGAAGAAAAAAAACAATTTTTCTTGAACTACTTTTTTACTGAATCAATAATTTAATCGTTCTCCTAGCAAATCTCATCAAGCGATAAGAATTATGATTGCTTCAAAGAGCATTTTATGTCCTGAATTGTAACAGTGATTTAAAAAGAAAACTGATGCAGGTACAAAGATTTATAATTAATTGCATAATATATAATGGATATATTGAGTCAATATCTTCTTCGATGCTCATTACTACTATTATTATTATTGTTTTAATTATATTTTTTACGTATTATACATAAATTTAAATTAAGGAATGCAAAGATATATATTGACGCAACATTTAAAAAATGTTCTCATTTCATTTGTGGCAGGAAAATAAGTTTAAGTGTGTGATAAAGTCTATAAAGTTATCTCGTTATTTAATCGACAAAATGCAAATTCCTTGCACGAATGCCCTTGAATGAATGCAAATAACGATCAAGGAAAATTATTTTGAAGCAAGACTGTTTTCTTCGTGATAAAGTCTATAAAGTTATCTCGTTATTTAATCGACAAAATGCAAATTCCTTGCACGAATGCCCTTGAATGAATGCAAATAACGATCAAGGAAAATTATTTTGAAGCAAGACTGTTTTCTTCGTGATAAAGTCTATAAAGTTATCTCGTTATTTAATCGACAAAATGCAAATTCCTTGCACGAATGCCTTTGAATGAATGCAAATACGATCAAGAAAAATTATTCTGAAGCAAGATTGTTTTTTTCGCATCATAATATCTTAATGGTTAAAGTAAATATCAACATATGCACGTGAATTAATTCACACGGTAAACGAGTGTATTTGTACAGTGACTGTGTAACATATGATACGTTAACTGCGATAAGAGATGTACCTACTGTCTTCTGCTTTTCCACGAGAAATCGAAAATGAGTTGCGTTGTAATATCCAACCATCACTTGTCGGTACATTCCTCTCGCCATGAATTCCACTGACTATGAGTTTTGTTATCAGTATTTTCTATTTCTAAATGATTGTTTACGTGTCAAAAAGTGACTTCCATTCATCTTTTTAATGTGGACCTGTTTCATGTTTTAATAACTTTCGATTTAACAAAAGTAATTAAAAGCGCCTAAAAGTTTATACTCGCGATTAATTATACTACGGCAAATGTTTCTTTCTTTTTTTTCCTTTGTAACAAAATTATATGCAAGCTCAAAGGATTGTGTCGAAATTGAGTGAATACTGAACGGTAAAACTTCAAAGAATAATGGTGTATTTTATAATAATATTTTTGCTTTACAGTTATATGTAACTGTAGATATGTTGATGAAACTTTTTCCATTAATTGCTTTTTCTATGAAAACTTATGTCTTATCCTGAAATACTCAGTTTCCTTCACGAAAATAAAACCGTATGTTCAATAACAATTATAACAAATGTTTCCAATCTTTTCTAATCATATCTGGAGATCACTGATCCCTAGGATTACTGATTATTGCTTCCGGATTATTCTTGTCTTTTCCGTTCGCTCAGATTAACTTATAGGGGAGCTTTGAGAGAGAGGAGAAACACCAATTTACTTTTTACAATATCTTTTTGCCAATCCAACAAACAAGAAAGATAAATAATTAAAAAATTGAATCGTATAAGAATGCCTCACACTTTAAGGCGTCTCCAGACAATATGGCCAATGCATACGCCAACTTTGTGCATATTCGCTAAATATTGGCCTACTCTCTATAAGTGAATCAATATTATCACTGACTTCAATGCTACACTTATAACTGTAATATCAGCGAATATTTACTGTTTTTCTACAGATTGAATCTGCAGAAAATCATAACCTCTAAAATGAATCTGTATTATTACTGAAAAACAGTAAATATTCGCTGATGACTTCAGTGCTACACTTATAACTGATGTAATCAGTAATAATACACTAATTCACTTTTACAGAGTACATTCAATATATGACAATTATATATGTCACATGTGTGTATGATATTTACCAATGTTAACGAACGTGGCCATATTGTCTGGAAGCGCCTTTAATTTTTCACGCCATTTTATGGTTTAAAGCGCAATATAATAGATGTAAACGGGAGAGTTCGACACTAGTAAGCGTATGCGGCACTTTTGTGCCTTGTTTAGCTTAAACAGGTGAAGTACTAATCTTGTGATGTGAGTTAACATTATAATCTGAATTGGCAAAAACCTCAAATAAGAAATAGTTCGTTTTTCAATTAATATGTAATATCTGTAATACTTGTTTGCGAAAAATGTTTTTAGTGTAAAACGCTGTTAATCGATTTATCGTTGTTGTGGCGGCTTTGAGCTAGCAGGTATTATGAAATAAATAATAAGACAATTTAATTTATGTAAATAATTATAATTAATACTATTAATTAAATTAAATAATTCTTTCCAATATAATTTTAAAATAAATAAATGTTTTATCATAAATTTCATATTTTAACTAATTTTTTCTAAATAAAAATGTCAAAATAAATATAAATAAAAAATTTAGATTATTCTAGTGTCTACATTTATAAATATTTTGTCATTTTAAAAAATATAAATTTTAATGTAGAAAAATTAAATTTAAAAAATAATATTTAATCTAAATTACAAATTGATAGATTTTCAAGACGCGTGATTAATGAGAAACAGCTGATTGTGAGGCATAACCGTAATTGGATCGTTTAACCCGTTTTTATTGACGGGTTACGCGAGCGGGAAGCTCGCCAGAAAACGTGATCGCACTTTATAGTCCAATCGCACGCATGGAATCATAGGCACCGCAAATTGCATCAATAAAAAAATGCATTTCTGAACGCATCCTCACAAAGTACGTCTGCTTTTATATTCAAAGTGAACAAACGGCCGGATACTTGACGCAGTTCCGTTCCGTCCAATTGAGCAACGAAGATTTGTCGAAGAACGAAATCGCCACTTGAATCGACTAGGACTTCTATTTTTGTCGTCAGAGAAGCGAAACTAACTTCATCACGTCGAGCACAGTAGACTCTTCAGCTCGTCGCGTCGGACATGATCGCGAGTGACCGAAATCGTGACAAGATCGAGATCACAACCGGTGAGATGCCCTTCTTGCATAATATCCGGTAGTGTTAACTCAATATATTTCGAAGTTAAAGTAATTCTCTGTATAGTGAGTTAACGAAGTGATGCACATACAGGAACATATGAGAATCGTCTTACGAGTTTCTATCCAGATTACCGAGTGAGATATTATGAGAAAATATAATTTTATTCATTAGTCTTCTAACAGAACTATTTCTATATATAAATGTAAATTTCTGTACGTGTATAAATTTCTGTGATTAACATGTCGTAGAAACGATATGCAAATATAGTTAACACAACGTATACGTATAATGTATATGCATGAATTTTGAATGAGTTTCATACATTATAAGTATAGACACTTTGTATTTAATATTTATTTTTTATCTTGTTAGACGAGTCATGTTTTCACTGATAATTCTATAACAACATGTAATTTTCAAAGAAACTGTTGAATACTATTTCTCTTTCTTATTTCCTTGTATCGTCTGTAATTAGATGGCTCCTTCTGCACGTAAATATTTTTTTTTCATATGTTTAATTGCGTCATGTTATATAACTCACAATATAGATACGAATCCTCGTGATAGTTTCGTAAAGTTACTCGAACGCTTTTCATTTTTCAGATAGCGTTAACGAACCTGCCGATTTCGATACAGCCATATCTATAACCGGTAAGATCTTTTTTAATGTCATTACAAAAACATAACAATTTTTATTATTTTATTTTATTTCCTTATCTCAGGTTATGGATTATTTAATGTGCTGCTGTTACTGGCGGTGTTGCCAATTGCGTGGGCCGCCGTTTTTGATACTACTTCTGGCGGGTTCATCTTGGCATTATCCGAATACGATTTCGAGCTTACGTTTTTCCGCAAAGGCATATTCGTTGCGGTTCCTTACATAGGTACGGAATTTAATTAAAATAATTGTAGTAATATCCTGCATAAATTTAATATTAATAATCTATAAAATCATAATTTTGAAAAAAATTACTGTACAAAAAATATTATACATACTTTAACATTAAAAAATTTAATCTTTTTTAAAACTCTTTTAAACAGTTGAATATTAATATTAGAGGAGAAGGTGGAATTATGGCCAGTGTATATATTGTGGTCTCCCTTAATATCTCCGCTATTATATAGCGAATCCTAATGATTACTTATGGAATTATTAATTCAGTAGCTCGCCGTTACATCATGACGCTAATATTACCAATACTCAATAGCCAGCACTTATTATAACGCATTTTTACTTTCAAGTATTTCAAAACGTTTCTGAGATACACTTTAACATTTAATTACACCTACTTCCCCCCTCATTTTTCTTAAACTTGAGAATATTATCACATGAATATACAGGGTGTTTCCAAATTAAATGGCAAAACTTCGGGAGCGTGTAGAGGAGTAAAAAACTAAGAAAAAAAGTCCTATAGACATATGCTCCTTTTTGCTTTGTTTCGCAGGAAATCACGAAAAAAGAAAAAAATATATTTAATTTATTATTTTAATTATTTTATTTATAAACTTTTTAATGAAGATTTTGTTCGAAATGTGCACCTCTTGCAGCAATACAAGCATTGCATCTGTCAAACACGGCTCTTGTAGCAGCCAGGCACTGTTCTTGCGATATTCTGTTCGCTGCAGCTACGATACGAT